TGAGCGGAGAGGAGACATGGTCTATCTGACTTTTTGACAGGACCGCTCTGGCTGCTGCTGGTGAGGTGGTGGGTGGGGTTGTAACAGGCAGAAGCGGGGAGGTGGGCTAGGCGACTCCTGCAATGGCCCAGGTGACAAGACAGGGCCTGGCCCAGGTGGGAGCGGCTGAGGTGGGGAGTGGTCAAATTCTGGACATAATTAGAAGGTGGAACAGACAGGGTTTCAGAGAGAGAGAGAAGGGGTTCACTCCACAAATCATACACAGGGGAGGGGCTGTGCTCAACCCTGAACATGGGACAAGGACAAGTAAAGGGAGAACATGGCATAAATGACCCTTTTCCTACCTGGCAGTGTCTGCTGTCTGCCCTTCCATGTGCCGTGTGGCTGCTTTTGCCACTAGGAGGAAGCCCTGCACAGGAGGTGGCACAGGAGGGAGGCTCCTGGAGAGGCGGTCACAAGGCCCTATCTGTATCACAAGGTCAAGGCTGGCTAAGCCCTTCCACAGTCACTCCCCGCCACAGCCTCCAGAGATAGGCAGAGGGATGTTATTACCCCCTGATTCCCTGGGGAGGAGACAGGCCCTGAGGCCATGCATTTGTTCAAGGTCACAAAGCCATTAGGGTGCGAAAGGCATTCTTCCTGCTGTGCCAAGGCTAGACTTACATACACAAGGTGATAATAGAATAACAATCCCCAACAGTTTTTAGTGTGACTTGTGTGCTAGGCCCCGTTCTAATTGCTTTAGAAACGTCAGCTTATTTACCCCTAATGGTAACTCTATGTGAGTTGGTACAAGCTCTATTATCCCCTTTTACAGGTGGGAAAACTGAGGACAAGGTGATGCACATACTAAGGGGTGAAACCTGGGTTCAAACAGAGAGCTGGCCCTAGAGCCTGTGCATTCACCGTGACCCCAAACAGCCTGGCGGTCTCCTACGCAAGACAGTGTGAGGCTGAGTGCTGCGGGATCTGAGACAAAGAGCTCGCTTTGGCCGGGTGGGTTGGGGTCAGATTTGAGCTGGGTCTTGAAGGGTCAGTTAGAAGGGACCAGCAAGGACAGTGGCAGGCATGAGAGCAGCAAGAAGGTGTATGTACAATGCAAGCTTGCAGCACAGCCACACGGAACAGGAGGCAGATAAAAAGTCAAGGATGGTTGGAGGGGAGGAAATCGGGGAGAGCAAGCACTGAAGATGCCACAGGAGAGCAGTGTGCCGAGGAGGGAGGCGCCAGTGGAGTCAAAGGCCACCAAGGGTCAAGTCAAGTACATGTTGTTGGGTGTTTCATTGGAGAACTTAGCAAGCAGAGTCCACAGCTCGATGGCGGCGAGGGCTTGACTGCGTGACTGAAGGTGAAGACAGAAATCCACTTGGCTAGAGTTCTTTAGAAGACCTGGCTTGGTTCCTGAAATTTTCCAACAAACAAACCAGACCCAGAACAAATGGCTGGAGACGTCAGCTCACTAATATTCATGTGAAAAGAGTTAGGTCACAGCTACTGTCAAGAAGCTGAGTTTTTATTAATAGTGAGAACTGACTCCAATCCCAAGATACTTGGCAGCCACTTTGACAAAAGTTTATCTGCCTAAGAGAACAGCTGAAGCCACCTTAACGTGCTTCACTGACTTACTGAAGCAAGTGCCACTTTCACAGGAAGCTGGAAAAGCAGCAAGCACGCCATATTCATTCCACAGACATTTACTGAGCAACTATTCCGTGTTAGGCTCTGAGGTGACATTTAGAACAGGCTACAAAGAGGACTATAATAGCCCTGGCTGGTGTGGCTCAGTTGGTTGGTGTGTGGTCTTATACACCAAAAGGCGACGGGTTTGGTCCCCAGTCACGTGCAGGAGGCAACCAAAGGATGTTTTTCTTTCACATCAATGCTTCTCTCTTTCTCCCTCCCTTCTTTTCTCTAAGATCAATAAAACAAACAAACAAAAACCATTTGCTATGGTGAGCATTGCTATAGGTCACTCAGGGGCAGCTGGCTCAAGGTCTCTCATGAGAGTGTAGTCCAGCTGTCACCCAGGACTGTGATCGTACCTTAAGGCTCGACCTAAGGGGTTTCTGTGTCCAAGCTCACTCCCATGGCTGTGGTTTAGGTATATCCACCTGTGTGGAAACACGACTGTATGAAGAAAAACAGGGTCATGATAAGCATGAAGTTCAGGATAATGATTATCTCTGGGGGAAGTGGGCGGACTTTGAATGGAGAGAACACATAAGTAGATTCAACAGGGCAGGGTTGGCCAGTGAGTTCAGGAATGCTTGTTTTATTTTCCTGCTTCATAGCTTAATTTTACATTACATGCATTTTTTATTTCTTTCTCTCAGGTTTGGTTTTATGTTTGTATTATGGAAATTCACGTGCATACACTTGGGTAGAGTCAATTGCTTTACCCATTTACCCTTCTCCAGAGTTTGACTACAATTGCATGAGAGATCTTGAGCCAGAGGTACCCACGCAAGCTGCCCCTGAGTTCCTGACCCATAGCAATGGTGAAATAGTAAACGATATTTAAACTGCTAAGTCATGGGGCAACTTGTTATACAGCAATAGATAACCAATATTTGTACCTCCTTTTGCTAATTGACTTTAGTGTTTACCTCCATGTCTCTAAATAACAGGCCTGTTTTGCTACTTTTCAATGCCTGGGTGTCGGCATTATCTATTCCCTTTCCTCCCTGGAAGATGAGGAGTGAGCTTCCTTTCAGCCCCTTGAACTCCTCCTGTCCCCCACCCTCCCTTTATGATTGTATTCTAATTTGAGTTAGATCAGTATCAGTGTTTGGGTTACTCAGTCAACACTCATTTGACTCTATTCATAGTTGAGCCTTTGTAGTAAAGGATGGTACCTTCTTTCCTGCAGTTTTGTTTTTTCTGGTTAATTATCATGTTCATTCATTTGCTTAGTTTTCTATGTATTTATCACTAATTCAACTCCAAACTCTGGCAGTTGTTGAAATCTCTTCTCCAGATGTTCAGGCACATCAGGTTTTCTATCAATTTCATCTTCTTGGAGAAATGTCTCCCCGAGCCTCTGACTTGCTGCAGTCTGGACTGGTGACCCTCTATGACTGGTGCATGGCCTTCACCCTGAGCCTCTTTCCTCTGCCTCTCTCCAGTGCCCTGTACCCCAGGGCTTCCTTCGTTTTGGCTTACTCCTTTGTTTTGGTGACACACACCCTCCTGTGGCTTCCCGAGAAAGGGTGCAGAGGAGGCAAATCTTTGAAAGCCTTGCACATCTGAAAATATCTTCATTCCACTCTCAGACTTAACTAATACTTTGACTGGTTTGGCATTCTGGCCTCTGTGGTTTAGGATTCTTATTTGGAGATAATTTTTCTTCAGAGTTTTGAAGTCTATTCCATGGCCCTCTAGCTTCCAGTGTTGCTGTAAAAAAGTCCAAAGTCACTCAGATTTCTGATTCTTTGCATTTGACACCCCTCCTCCAAAGCTCCATAGAATCACCTCCTCCCTTTGGTGTTCTGAAATTTCACAATAATGTGCCTTGGTGCGAGTCTATTTTCATCCACTTTGCTAGGAACAGTGGGCCCTTGACCTAGAAACTTGTGTCCTTCAGTTATGGGAAATTTAAAAAAATGATTTATTTAATGATTCTTTTCTTCTCCTTCATTCTCTGTCTCCTCCTTTTTTTCCAGTTCTCTCTTTCTGAAACTATTATTATTTGAATTGGTAGACTGATTTTCTATTTTTTCTCCTATTTTCATTTCTCTCTCTGTCTTTTGGGAGCCTTCCTCAATCTATTTACCAGGAAGACCTTTTTGGTATAGCATGTCATTCTCGTCTCATGGGTCCAATATCTTGTTTTATCTCTCTTATGATGTTAATTATAGAATTTTTTTCAAGAGTTCTCTGTGAATGGTCTGTATTTGACCCAGAGTTCTGTTTCTTTGTTTAATTGACTGATTTGGTCTGTGTCTTGAATGCTAGAGACTGTCTGGGAATTCCTGGCTGTCTGCTGATTTTTAAAAGCAGGGGACTAAAACTGTTAGTTGTAGAGGGATTTGAGAAGAGGCAAAAGCAGCATGTGTATTTAATCCACCATCTTTACCCCATCATACATTTATTTTATAGTATTAAAAAGTGAAAAAACCACAGTCCACACCCTAATGATAAATGAATAAGTATAACACTCCCCCCCCCC